AGTGCAAAATTTTGGAAGAAATTTTATCAAATAAAACTATGAGTTAGTGCTAATATCAATGATTTGATAAATCATGAATTATCTCTAAGTAGAATATTAACCCGCGCAATGTTCTGGATATGAATACATGGTTAAGAACAATATCGTTCTTGATCATCTTTATTCTCTTTCTGATCATCTCTTTTTCATATACAATGTTTGTAGAATGCACAAAAAACATCTCTTTATTTATCTCTATTTATCGATTACGAATATACAAACATATGCTGAGGATAACATATATTTCTTTTCAATATTTTCTTAATGAATCGATAGTGAGATTTCATATTTGGTTCAAACAGACTAAATGATAGTGCTCAAAGAAACAGTCTATAATTAGACTTTTCCTGTAAAAGTTTACTGAAAAACGTCCGAATGACTCTCGTGCACTTCTACATGTCTGACATATCGACAGTTCAAAGGATTTGAGATTCAAACATGTTTTTCAACAATGAAGAAGTATTCATCGATCTACGTAGATGGATATGTAAAGAACTCTTTGTTTTCCTTCGAGCTTTTACATTAAAATATAGAGACTGTTCTATAAGTCTTACAAAGTTTCATGAAAAAGAAACTATACCGCTAAAACGACGTGATGAGTCCCTTAAGAAAGGTTGAAGTTGGTCTTAGTATTCTTTGACATAGTACGCATCCATCGTCATTCGTCCACTTTCAAGACATTGTTTGAACCAGAAAGTAAGTCCTTCATAATTTCTTGGTTCTGGTATAATCCACTATGGATTACTATTTAATAAAACATCAATAACCAATAGATCTATGTGAAACGACATATTTTAGAGGCTTGGTAAAACTGAATAGATTCAGAATCACTCTTGTTTATTAATATACATGTTAGTATGGACCTTCATAAAATATATAAAAGAAAAAAAAAGAAAATCTATTAATCAATATTGCACTATATGTAGTTTAGATTTCCATAATTTTTCATAGTCATCTTGTTAGAGCATTCCATCTTTTCTAAACATTTGTGTCAGCCGTTATTTTTTGTTCATTCAAAATAATGATTGAAGGTCGAAGGGATACCAGATCTTTCAAGAATTGCATAGATTGTTCATACGCAAAATTTGTTTTTTCCAATGGAATTTCTTTCTCATGATAAGGAACATCTAAGCAAAATTTAATTGACTTGAGATTTGGTAACCATTTAGGATCCGATAAACATTTGTGCCAGACGTATAGATAGTTTGCTAAACTTGGTGGTCCTCGAAACTGCAAAACCTCCAAATTATGTGGAAAAAAGGTGGGCAATTCAATTAAATAATGTTCTTCAGGCAAATCTTCGGATGAATCATGTAAAGTAAGGTCGAGAGATTTGAGTGAAGGACATTGAATTAATGCTTTACCGAAACATTCCTTCTCATATTGATGAGAGAAATCACAGCCATTTGTACTTTCGATTCCTAGTTCTAATAGATTGTTAATTAGACAGGTCTCTCGTTGCATTTTGATGAAATGATCACAGGCATCATTTTCTATAATGATTAACCGTTTTAGTTGACTTGTACTGTTGCCAATAGCTAAATTAAATGAGAGACCACAGCAATAATTGAATGTCAGAGAAGTGATGGTATGGAGATGTGCTGTCTTGATATCTTCACCACACGCATCTCCGATTACAATAGATTGTAGAGGCCAAGATGATCCAACTTTATCTAATGGTTCGATATTGCAGTATTCATCGTATCCACTAATCATTTCGAGATGAGATATATATTTGAGATCTTGCAACGCCTCCCAGATTGCCAACGACGGTGTATTACCACGAAACAGAAGCATATCAAAAGGCTGTTTTGCAATGCTGCGTAAGCGGTCTAGAAACGATGGAAGATACTTGGTGGAATCTGTTGTTCTCAAAAGATGGAGGTCGATGATGAGGGCATGACGAAGATGTGACGGATACAATGTGTTCTTTATAATATTAGTAACTGGTGTACCGGCGGGTGTTATAGTCGTTGTAGTCAACATTCTAATTATTAAAGAAGTAGAAGAAGATGAACAAAGTTGTAGTCGTCGAATGTGATGCATCTCTTTTAATAAGCTTAAGAAACTTGATGAACTTACAGTTGATGGTAGAAACTTTATAGAGGAGACTGAATGAAATTTAAAATGACATTTTTTAAAGAAATCCTCGCCTACATCTTCCTTAAAGAAATTAGTTCATCTACTTTTGCTATATAATATAATTTCTTTGAAAAAGGACCAAATGTATTATAAAGAATGTATTTCAATGAAAGATAGTGATGAGAGTAGGGGTGGGAAGTTACCGTTCCTAGACCGTTACCTGGGAACGGTAACGGTAACTTCCCACCCCTAGATGAGAGTGTATACAATAGAGAGTCAAACTGTTTCTTTATTCCGCTGAGATTAGAGCAAAAATGTTCAAAATATTCGTCTACTCGAAGTATTCAAATTTTTGGCAGTAAATTCTTAAAAAGTCGAAGACATTTTTTACACTAAATGTTAGAAAAACTCAGAGCGCCTCTATCGAGTCTGTAAAATTTTAAAAATTTAATTGATTATAGTTATGTCGAATTGAAATCGTTTCTGGCCCTGCACATCTTTGTTAAAACAGCCCTCATTGACTCTATGTCTTGCAAAATAATGTTGAAATAATTACAGATACTTGTCAATGAAATATCAAATGTACAAACACTGCATTTGTCAACCAAAGTACAGATGATAACATGCATTTAAGAAATCTTTCGCTAAATACAAGTGAGAATAATGACTGAGATCTCTAATTGTAAAACTATTTGCAAGGCTACAATAGACGCTTTACTTACCTATTTTCTTATTTTTGTTTGGCTTATGCCGATTAAAACTATTATTCACTTAAAGATGAATTCCAGTCAGTTGTATTGAAACATGTTTGAAAATGTGAGTCGCTGTCTAGAGGAATTTTTCAGTAGCGTTTAGATGTTTTAACTTGAAATGAATATCGATTATTCAGTACAATATGTTGTTCTCGAAAGAATAAAAACAAAAACGATTGAAAAAGGAAAGACACGAGCAACATGTAAAAAAGTGATGATTTAAGTAGTCTTTTCTTTCTTATCAAAAAGTCATTAGTCATTCGATATCAGAGAATAAAGAAAAGAGACGAAATTTCGATGTCATTGACAAAAATGAATAAAAAAAACGTAATGTACATTTTCTTGTCCTGTGTTATTTCACCATAAACAATAAAATATGAGCAAAATAGTCATTTCTTTAGACCAACCCTGTCAATACGGTTTCGCAATCGATAGGACGTCATTTCTTGAGTAATTATGATCATAAAACTCTTTCACATTAACATGTCTATAAATAAGAAGAATTAAACTATCAGAAGAAAATTCATGGTATTCTCGTTCTTCATTCTAAGAGATCATAAAGTGATTCACAATATTCTCGTTTGGTACTTCGTTTCAATACATGCATCTGAGCTGGACAGGTAATGGTCAGTTTAGAACATTACCTAGTCCCTCATCTCATTGGTTGCAGTTGCATTTTGAGAGTGATGGCAAAAATCTCATAAGCAACCACTTTAAAACTCCTAACGAATTAACGATTTCTAGACCATTAAACTGAGCAGTAAGAAGTCACTTTAAAAAGAACTTGAGTCGACTTGAATACCTATTAAAACCATGGTGGCGAAGGGTGTGAGTGTGAGTGTGGGTGTGGCTGGGTGTGGGCGTGTAGGTGTGGATGTGAGTGTGGGTGTGTGGGTGTGGATGTGGGTGTCGGTGTGGGTGTGGGTGTGGGTGAGTGGGTTTGGGTGTGATCTGGGTGTCGATGTGGTTGTGAACCTTTCTCTTCTTACAAACCCACGCACACCCACATCCACATCCACCCACACCCATACCCACACCGGCACCCATCCACACCCACACCCAAATCAATACAAACTAGCCAGCTGCTGTCTGAGTTATTGTCATTAATCGAAGGGGAGCTCTATCTCTCTCTATTTTGTTGAATAAGATCACTATTTCCATTGTTCTAAAAAATAAACGACTCATGTTCTATCTCTTGAAGAAATCCACATGCCACAAGTATCATGGGCTGATTAAGTTGATATCTTGTTCATACGTAAAACTCGATGAGATTAGTAGAACCTCAAAAACATGCACGTCCATTCACTGTTTATACGTGAGATTTTGACTTTTTGAATGCTGTTTATGCAAAAAATCGAATGATCGAATTTCGTCTATGAACTGGTTTCTTGTGCATTAAAATATCGTATAAATTTCAATCATAACAAATATTTTGCTTCTATATGCTCAATGTCCAAATAATCGATCATATCACATAAGAAAGCTTATTAGTGTCGTTTTACGACGAAGGCAAAACTTGAAACCCAAATAGTTTACAAGCATCTCAAGATCACGATAAATTATACTTCCATGAGTTTATCTGTAAGGTAAAGCATATTTGAACGTACTTTCTGCGGGATTATTATGTAAAGCATGACAAAGTAATTTGACTGGTAGATCGAAGATTTACAGTTCGATAAAAGTTCCTTAGATGTGTTCGTCATTGTCTATAATTGCGCAAAGCAATGGACGAAATCTCTAGTGCTCATATTTTCTTATGTGAGTTCCACAAAAAGGTCCAAACATGAAGTTTCTTCCTTATTGAATATTTTGAGAAATACATGTTTGTTTCGACTTCACATTTGAATGGTCATAAGATCTAATTATGAACAAAATTTTGTCGCTCTATTTTTCCATAAATACTTTGCCTGAGGGTGTATTAAGACAAAGCAACAGTTTTAGGATTCAACAGGCATTATGACAACAATCAATTGATTGGAGAATATCCGTTTTCACAAGTTTCGTTTTTAACTAAATTTTTATTATATAAAACTTTCATTTAATATTGAATACAAATAATCATATTCGAATATGAAACACATATACATTGATCAATCGACGAGTCCTGTCATTCTTCTATTTAAACGGCTATAGAGGTGGTAAAAGTTGACTGATCGTCGCAAAGCTATTCTCCCGGTGTTCTTGAGCCAGTTTCAATTGTTCTATACATTTTTTTAAATGTGGATCTTTATAATCGTAAACAAGTACGTTCAATCCAGGAAAATTGAATATAAATAGTTCTTTCAAATTCGACAATAAAGTACTACTCGGTGCATATGTGCCAGATCCATTATCGAATACTAATTCCCATTCATCAGTCAAATTTTCCCATCCATATTTTGGACGAGGATGAAATTCTCCAGCATAACAAACATGATCTGAACCATTCGCTAGAAGAGCATGTTTGCTTGCAAAATCGATAAAAATTCCAGCACCCGTTTCGCTAAATCGCCATGTATTATCATCGATAATATATGTATAGATACATGGTTTTATTTGTTTTGTGGATTTATCGACAAACAGCTTCCATAGATCGTCAACAGTGTTCAATCGTCCACTTTGATTGTTTTTTAACGTACGTCTATACAATGCTCTATGTGCCATTTTGATTGTTGTTTGAATAGCCGCCGAACGAATACTATCATTAAAAATCATTTGAGCTGGTTTATGATGTCTATTCCATGATTGATAGAATTGAGAATGGAAAAATGTTTGAATTCGCCGCAATTGTACTTTCCATGTTGGATAGACGCAATCTTCGTTAATCATGGTGAGTCGTCCGACAGGTAACGAATCATGACGAGAATAATAACAAGGACCGTCAAAGGTATAGGGAGGAAGTTTAAGATTCTCCACAGATGTTTTATTTGATTGAATAGACAAATGGAATTGACCGTGATGTAAACCTAATAGACCAATGATGGTATGTCCGTTCGGTGGAGGTTGATAATCAATGAGATCAGTAATTTCAAACTGACCAAAGTAGTCATCAGCTACTTTTTCATCATCTTTGTCATAAAGACGAACGAGAAGTTTTGCCGTACGAGGAATATTTCGAACGATCCATTCTCCATCATCCCAAGTTGGTGTTGATGTATTCGATTGGATGGATGAACTATTTTGAAAAAAAAAATATTCATTTTTTATTGAAGTTCCATAGTTTGGACGTCGGACAGAGTATGTAGGAAAGACTAATGGTATAGAGAATCTTACATTTCTAATTAGATATTAAACATATATATATAGCGCAACTAAAATTAACATTTTATTAAAATAAGAATTTCGCTACATTTTTTCAAAGGAAAAAAATGCATTTGTACTTCTTATAGGGTTAACTGAACTTTTAACGCTTCCTTGTTCCATTCTTCCGAAAAAAAGCGAAACAATATAATATCCATGTTACTTCAGAGTACTTATGTTGAAATCTGTCTGTTGCAAAGACATAAATAAAGACTTTTCAAATGTTTAATTCTGAAATATATCTACATTAGAACCTACCAAAGTTACTTATTTCTTAATAGCTCGCGAAGTGAACGTTTGTTCCCACTGATTTCGACTGCGAGCACATTTAGACAAAAACACTGTCGAAAAGAATGAATCTTTAAATTTTGAAGAAAACTTTTTTTTACAATGAAAATAAGTCAGATTTATAAAAACTATGATACACTTTTATAGTGCGCATTTACTCATTTTTCGTCTCTTCTAATTTAATTTTTATTGTATTGAAAACTAAAATAATGATCTCTATGATTCAATGTACGAAACTTGAATTTAAAATTTTACAAAACTATAAACCAAATAAAAATGAGAATTTCTAACTTTTGACAAAAGTCTTAGTTGAATTTTCCCTATAACATTTACGAAAGTATAGGAGGAAAAATAATTATTACATTGATAAACAATACGACTTTTCACTCCTCTTAACAAGAATGCAAATTTTATATGTTCAACCAAAATATTACTCTTAGTCTAATTTTCAACTCCTACGGTAGATACATCTTCCAGCGTAAAACAATTTATGATACTCGATTGTTCTGTTTGGGAAAGAGGTAAAACTAAACAAATTTGTTTTACAGATTCGGTTCATAATCTAAAACAAAACTGGCAACAGGCAAAAAAATGTAGGTTGATTCCATAAAATTATAATCAAATGATACAGAACCTTAAAAAAGGGGTTTCTAGTTTCTGTTTTCGTGGAAAGAACCTTGTAAGTGTCGTATGAAACATCTTTGTTTAGAATGTATATTAACAAATACTTCAATTTTGTTTTGCATATTTTTTTGTATTCAGAAATGTGTTTTTCGGGATGAACTAGTAAAAATCAATTAAAAAACTGAATCATTATATTATTTCAAATGTTTTAGAAATGATAAATGTATTTTACAATTGATGAAACTCCATTAGACACATTGAAATTATTTTTGTTGGTTTTACGGAAAGAAGATGGTTGATTTTTTTTCTCTTTAGAGCCTATCGAGAAAAAAGGTCAGCCTCCTTATTTCGCTTGCCTTATTCATGACTGCATTAAAGACTTCCACTATATTCTCTGCAGCTATTACTATGTACATACATTTACTGACATGAATAAATATATGATTAATGCGGTCTACGAATTTTGTAATCGAAGAAAAAATGAATTTCAATACATGTTAATTAATGTGCGCACATATCCGCACATGTATAACGAAAAATAAACAATATTCTGGAGCTGTTGAGTCGTTTATCATGATCAAATGTCTTCTTTTTTTCATCGAGAATTTGTCATAAAAAAATACTTCAAGAGCTCTCTTTATAATATTACACACACGAATACGACTCATTACCATCAATAGTAGACTATAGCACGTGTTAAGTCTCTTTTTGATGATTTTCAATCTAGATATTTCTCATGTTCATGTCAGTATTTGACGAATTACCGTTATGAAAATTGACAAATATGCAGAACTATAAAAGGTATTCTAGTGTACGCATCAATTCATAATGGCGAATATGGAAACAAAGCAGATATATATATTGTATCTCATCAGATTCATTTGAAGCAACATAATAATGAGAAACAGAATTCGATCCAACATCATCTGAAAAACAAATATTAGCCATCAACGTCATTTGTAAATAGAACCTCAAGCATGTTTTAGATTGACCTGAAATTCATATTTGCTATATTGAAAAATAACAGACTATGACAAGTTGCAATTGGCAGAGATAACACTAAAGTTGCTTCAATTGCGGTAACAACCAACAAAATACTCTGAGCACAAAATACAAATCAACTAAGCAGTCTAGATTGACATGTTTTTAGAAACGAATGTAGAACTGAATGAAGATGAATGAAACAGTAATTTGTGTTAAGAGTACAATGTCAAACTTCATTTTTCATGTAGTTTGAATTTAAAATGAAAGTTATATTTCTATAACATTCACCAACCAGTTCTGCAATAACAAAACAAGATTTTCAAATGTTTCACTAGACACTGCAACATACACACGTGTAGAACAATTTTATCGTCCTTTTTCAATCGTTCCAAGCGCATGACGGTGTGTAGGCTTTATCGAGAAAAAAAAAACAGCAATTAATTTTTGTATTATTATTTATTTATTACCTATTGAAACGGATGATCTACTTAGTTTTGAGAGCATGTACTATTTTTCGAAGAATGAATTTACATCGATGCCGATATGTTTCGAATATTGTGCTACAATTACTCCGTTCATTTTACATGAAATAGCTAACAAAATAAAATGATTTTTACTGCAACGCATTACAGGAAAGTCGATATTTTTTTCGGGTAGTGTGAAGACCTAGAATTTTCTGGATAGACTCATTGATCAATTGATAATCGGGTAGAATAAAAGTAAAAGTTTTCGTCTCCAGAACTCAATGGAAAAACACGTAGGGAGAATACAGGAACCAATAATCTTGATTTTACAAGGATAAAAATAAGTATGCTAGGATTCTATCAACTTCGTAATGCTAATTGTTTATTTTTGAAAAACAAAGCAATTATGTGTTAAGTTTAAATCCCGAATGTTGGTTTACAATGAATATTGTTACGCATTCCGACCAATTCAGATTCATTTCGATTAATTAATAAAAGCATAGGAATTACCATGTCGATAAGGTTCTACAATCCAAACATACTCATTTTTACTTTGACAAAATCAAGATTTTCTTTCTCTGCATCCACTAGGAGATTTTTAATTTGATTCTGGAGGATTGGTAAAATTTTTACTTTTATGATGTCCCCTTACTACTCAACTGAAGATTGTTTCTTGAAAGTGTCAGATTTCCATATCACTTGAGAAAAAAGTCGACTTCCTTGTAATGCTACATCGGCTTAAGGGTAAATAGAACAGTGTAACATAGAGAATTTTTTTTTGCAAAAATATTAATTTTTTATTTTGTCTTTCATTCATTATTTTTGATATCTCATAACTGATTTCCAATAAACGGAAAAAAATAATGATTGACGACAACAAAAATTATTTTAAAGATGCTTACACGAATCTAATTCTATCATCGATTTTGGCTTCGAAATATGGGTCACCACAACCCGCAATATCCATTTTGGGTAGACCCTACGCAAGATAGAAAAACAAAATGTATGAAAATTAATGTTTATATGAAAAGTATACTTCTGCCGATATGAAATTAATAACGACATCATAGCAAATTTGATAATCGTCAGAAGGTGGTGATACTGTGATAATTGTCTGCTTCAGACCAGCAGCTAGTGTATTGAATGACATTGGCAAAAAAAAACTACGATTGGCGAGCAAGACGTCGACTTTTTTGAAAATAAATATTAACTGACGGGGATAAAATGTTGACGATAAGCAGGTGTGTGCTCCTTTTCTTTCCTTTCGTTCTGTTTCTTTTCTTCACCTCACTTGCCTTTTCTCCTTATTACATTAAATACGATCAATTGTTCTTCTTGTGTTGTACAAAAATCATGACTCCCACAAATAAAACAAATGATTTCTTAGCAATACAACCATTTTATTAGTATAGCGTATAACAACTACTTAAAGATCAATAAGAAAAATGTTATCAAAGTTCTGTGGCAATACTGGAACCATAGAATTTCATTCAACTATCAAAATTTATTTTTCAAGATCTTCGTGCACATGATAGTCTTATCATATTCAAATATACTCAATAGAATAGATATTTTCATTCTTTCTCAATAACTAATACGTAGGCGACATTTATCATTAAAGATAGCAAAATATTACTTCATGTATGCGTTCCAACACAATAATTGTATCTTTATTATTTCATTACGAAAATGCAACAGAAAGAAATATTGTTAGTGAGTGATCAACAGTCTCACATTCGCTAGTGGTACCTTCAACGTACTAAAATTGGGAATTTTCGACTAAACTTATTCGATTGAATCGTATTTTTGAGATGTTCGATAATTTAAAAGAAGTATCAGTTTTTTTTCTGATGGTAAAAAAGAAATATCTAACACTCCTTCAATATTTTGATAATATTTTGTTTGAGAGACCAATTGTGACAAATACAATCAACTTTTCAATTTTTAACTTTCAAACATCAAATAATGGATATATTTTTGGATCTTTGCTTGACCCTTAGGATAAAAAACTATAGCTGCATTTTCACAGCACATGAAAAGTTCCATATTATGGTTGCCTTAAAAAAATTGTCAGATCAGCTCCTTCAGGGGTCAAAGTGTGGAACTCACAAACTCTGATTATTTTAAATTTATGATATATTATCAGAGGTTTTAAAATAATTTATTTAAAAACATTCAAAACAAATGAATAAATTAAAATTACAACAATTTTTATAGTTGAGACGAACGCTTTAAATTTTTTTTTCGAAAATATTCGCATTTATAATTACTTTTCTATCAATTTATTCGATTTATTTAATATCGTTACACTGTAAACACGTATTTGTATTGTCAAATACATCTTCAATACATATATTCTATTTTTCTAGGGTGTGGATGGGTGTAGTTCGTTTCTCTACCCACACCTACACCAACACCCAGACCTCGCATCCACACCCATCTTTAGACCGTAATATTTTGGATTATTCTATAGTATACTAAGCCCTAACTTCCTGTAGGGTCATACACAACATCTGTTTAGCCCCATGTTTTTCGATATCCCAAAATCTGTGGTTTTTGCGTGAGCGTCTCGTATGAAGGAAGATCTCCAAGTGTGAGTCTCGGTTTTATATCGGCTTCATGTCACTTTGCAGAGCTCGCTGAGCTGATTACGATGCTGCAAAGCGTTCTTTCCCATAGATTGTCTTTAAAAAGTTAGGCCGATCTCAACTTCTAGAGAAATTACTGTAAGCTTTTATTTCAGAAGTTTTACTTTTTAGATTAATTTAGTTTTCAGCATTCAAAGCTTTAACACTGGATGCGTCTTAATTGACTGTACAGATCTATACAATCAATATTAATAGAAGTCCTAACTACAACTATATTTTGAGTATTTCAATACTATTCGTACAGTCGATGTACAGAATTCAAGTATTTTGCTTTCAATACAGAGCTGCCCACCTGCCCTGCGGCCTGGCAGGCGCCTGCCAGACACCAGACCAAGCTGGATTTCGAAATTTGAGCCTGGCCTGCAGGCAGGCCAGGCTAAACTTGGTTGCCTGGGTCATTTTCTTTGTATTATTTTTCCTTATCAATTTTAGCAAGACAAATACATTCAATTCCAGGAACTAGTACTGGCATAGAATGGCAGTTTATTATTGTAGTCGGAAGATTAAAAAAAGAAGATACATGGTGGATTCGAACATCCAATCCGAAAGTATTCAGAACTCGACGAACACCCTGACGGCAGACTAGAACACTGAGATAGACTCACGTCAGTTTATACAGTCTAAAGCACAGATTGACTCCCGTTCATCCACTATATGATCAGAGACCATTCGCTATCAAATGACTTTCACTAGTCTGAAATGTCTAAAATAGTAGTCAGGACAAGTCCGAAGCATCGTCTACACTGGTAATGGCTAGTCCTTTTTTAAACACCGTGTCTCCTACATCAATCCAAATTAAACTGAAAAGCTCTAAATAACCCGCTTTCTTTGTACTAAATATATCTTCTTAATTCGTTTAAATTGATCAGTAAAGAAGAGTAAAAGAAGTATAGTGCACCTAAAAAAAATCTCAATATGTGTATCATTTATCAAATAATTGATGGATAATCAAATGCATTTAGCACATATATTAGATAGGAGAATAACAATCGTTTTATTTCCTGCCTTGTTCTCAAATCTTCATAAATTGATAACTAAAGACGATCTCTTGTGTTATGATTAAGGAAATTAATAACATGCATTATTATTTTGTTTTAAAATTATGTTGATTATCACTAGTATCATCAATTTTTCTCTTTCTAGATCGACAATCAGAGAGTCTGCCATAATCAATAGTGAGGGCAAAGACAAATGTTATACTTTATGCATTCCTGTCCTAATATATTTGATTATATTTTGTATTTTTATATGTTGAGAATGTAAGAGTAAGAGTATATCGAAACAAAAGAAAGTAAGAATAAGTAGAGAAAGCAATGTTTATTTCGTAGCGAGGAATGCTAACTCATGTTGTTTAAAACTCTCAGGTGTTCTAAATTTAAAAACATCTTCAAAATAATTTAAATAATTTTATATCGTAGTTTTATATTATTTTATTTTAAATATTAATTCTAATAATTTTAACTTTAAGAATATGAATTTAAATGCATCAAAGTTAATTTAATTGTTAGTTGAAGATAAGTAGTAATTTAGATTTCACACTTAACTAAATCATGATATGAAAAAATCTAGTTTCCTTTGAATATTAGTAGCTTTTTATTCTTGCATTTAAAATTAATTCTTTGTACACAACTAGTTATTCCTAGATGATAATAATCAAAAGATATTCTTTCAAAGAATATAAAGTTTTTTTTTAATTTACTTTGTTTAATGTTGTCTGAACGATCTTGTATTCTGTGAAAAATAATTTTTTATGCATGTGTAAATATGAAAAAAAACTTTGAGTAAAATTGTATTAAATAGCATCTTAGAATGATTATGGAACGCAGAAGTTGATCTCTTGATCGTATGGATCAGTGGTCTAAGTGATGGAAAGTAATACATCGTATGCATATTTGAATCTAATTTTTATACTTATATATTTCCACTTAGACTAGTCTGGTCTTGTCCGCTAAGTAGGACTACAACTTATGCTATACTGTTCTTGACATCCTTACTTTTTCAAGTTTAAATCATTTTTGGATAGACATCCCTGTCACTGTCCTGGCTAGTCTTTCTTTCAGAAAGTCCTCGTCCAGGACCAGTCTGCATATTAGATAATAACGTTCTGTATCAATCGGCTTCAGCCCATTCCTGTATGAGTCTTTCTCAAAAAAGACAAGACTAGACACGTATAATGTCGCCCGTCAATCATGCAATTTAGACAGGGCTTCATGACGCCCAAAACTCCTAGACTAGTCATGTCCTAGTCAAAGTTGAAACAAAGACTAAGAAGACGGATCGACATGACTAGAAAAATGACGAATCATTCAGTTCATCTTGTGCTTAGTTGGGTTATTGACAAACTGTCAATTTCCTAATCTGAAAAATCAAAAACACTATTTGGCCTGGTTTGACCTGCAGGCAGGCCAGGCCAGGCCCCGGCCTAGGCTGACTTTTGAATTTTAGCCTGATCTGCTCAGCAGGCCAGGCCAGGTCAGGCTGAAACAAGTGGCCTGTTGGCAGCTCTGTTTCAATATTCATCTAATTCCGATCGTATGCTCGTCTATTCAAGACGTATCTTAAAAATACAAGTAACGTTCATCGACATTGAATGTCGATTCACTTGACCCTAGACTGACGGAATGATGACAAAGATGTCCTTATATTTTTAAATAAAAATGAATTCTGTATAGTGATGAGTTTAGAAGAAATCATTAATATTTGTAACATGTTCTATATTACATACTATAGATATATTCAAATAGTTCACAGACAATATTGAAAGATGCTAATGTATATGATAAAGCTTATGCTTTAGTTAATTATAACGACTAACATGGTGATTTATGTCAAAGTAATGGCCATTTCTAATATGGATCTGGCCAATTGTGGCACAGACAGGCTTATTTGAGCCATAAGAATGGTCAACTGTGCCATAGAAATGATGAATTGAGCCATACAAACGGTAATCTGTATAATGAAAATGGCCAGTTGTGTCAAATAAATGGTCGCCTGTGCCACCAAAGTGGTACTTTTGTACCATGAAAATGGTCAGTTGTACCACGATTATGGTACTTTGTACCATGAAAATGGTCAGTTGTACCATGACCATGGTACTTTGTACCACGAAAATGGTCACTTGTACCAAGTGTTACAGACAGACAGACACAGTTGAATTTCCGTTTCTAGACCCTATCCTTTCAGTCTATGGAAAATCTCTTCTTCTACATCACATTCAATTCAAATTGAATACGAACCTTCTGTTAAACGTGTTTCTGATAAATGATTGTACATCAATCTATAGACAGCTATTCTATTCTCTCGACGAGATCACGACTATCATCATTATCATCATCATCATCGTACAACGAAGTCACCGCTCCTATTAGGATTTTTTTATTACCTGAACTGACTGACAAGGATGAGACTTCGTATTTTCTCTTTTCACTTTTATTGTCTGTTGCTCTCTTTCTATGTCGCAACGAAACAAATGTGAATGTTTGCATCGCTCGGTTTTTTTCTT